GAGACTCCAAAGGTACTCAGTTACCAGTTTTTCCCCTGGGATTCTAGTCCCTATTGGTTGTGCTTGAATTCTGTTTTCTGGTCGGATCAGTTGCCTTGAAAAAGGTGAAGAAAGTCAAATGGGCATTGACTGGTTTTCCTTCGGTCATAAAAAAATTTTTTTGTTTGGAAATTTCAAATTTACAGAAGTCACAAATACAAAATAAAAATTATACAAAGGTTACTTGTATTTCATTTATCCAGATTCTCCTGTTGTTGACATTTACCTCATTTGGTTTATCATTTGCAATTCTCTCTCTATATGTATATCTCTCTCTATAATTTCTTTCTGTACCATAAAGAATAATGTTCTAACGTACATTCATGTACAGCAAAAGCTATGAACTTCAGTCAACTTAAAATTGATATAATACTCTCATTAAACTGTTGTTCATATTCCAGTTTTCTCTGGTGACCCAATAGTGTCCTTAATAGCACTTTTCTCTCCTTTGTCTCTTAGCAGTTGTCTGCCTCAGGCAGTAGGCCCACGCTCTCTTTGTATTTGCTTGATATAAGCTTACAGAGTTCTTGTCTTGAATGTTTTTCACAATGTTCAGCTTCTTTCTGGCTGTCACTTTTCCTGAAATTATTATCACAGTCCATGCCAATTTTTTAAATATTAATTATTTGTTCCTGGTTAGGTCTCTTTCCCTCTCTCCTCTCCTCCAGCACCCCCTCCCCACGCCGGTGGGGGTCAGGGGGGTTGGGGGGCATGTTTCAGAGATCAGACTCTTTGGGAAATGTCCTACATAGCCACCTTGCGTTCTTTTTTCCTCCTGTGTATTAGTTGCCATCGTGCTGTAAGAGCTGTATTTGAATAACCTACAGTTTTTTAAGTCAAGGAAATAATTGCATACGAAAGGTTCTGGGGTGTGGTAAGGGGACTGATTAGAAGCTTGAAGTAGCAAGCCTCAGATTTTTCTAGATTAGTGCCTCTCAGACTTTAATGCGCACACAAATCTCCTGGGGATCTTGTTAAAATGCAGGTTCTGATTCAGTAGGTCTGGAGTGGGGCCCAAGATACATTTTTAGTGAGTTCCTGGAGCAGCAAGGTCCTAGAGAAGTTTTAAGACCTGGATGATTTAGATCCCAAGGTATTGACCTCTGGAACCCGAGATGGCTTGTCTGTAGTTGATGGTCTTACAGGAATTTGAGCAAAAGAGTGGTGTCAAGAACATGAAGACAAGAAGATGTAAAGTCCTGAGTATTTAAAAAAAAAAAAAAAGTAGGGAATGGTGTGTTACCAAGGATAAAGCAAGGAATCAGAAAGAATTGGGTCCCACTCTGTCATTAATTAGCTGACAAACTCACTACAAACACTTGCCCTTGAAGCCTTGGTTTCCTTTTGTTAAGATGGGGTAATAATACCCACTTCTTAGGATGCAGGGAAGATTATTTACCTAAAGTGCTTCTGACACAGTATCTGGCATATACTAGATGTGCAGCATGTGGAAGCTGCTATTAGTGAATGGTCGGAGCTTGACTGCACCTGTCCAGACTGGAGAACAGATGCTTGACCATGAACTCTGAGCACTTAAGGAAGTGGAGTTCATTAGTGGCCATTGTGGGTTGTCATGCCGTTTTCTTTTTAGACAGGCTTATTATCAGATTAGAGGAGTGTTACAGACATAATCGCTAGCTTTGACACAGGAATTTGACAAAGCCTCAGGATACCTTTGTGGGCATGTCAAAAAAAAAATTGTAGGTTAGTTGAGGTAGGTGGATTTGTGGGTGTTAGAACAGATGTATCAACACAGTCATGAATACAGGTTGTTGTAAATGAGAAAGGTGGTCTACACTGGCACCCATATTGCTTTTTGACTCTTTCAAATACACTATTTTAAAATCTTGGGTAAAGACGTAGTTACTGTGGCCCATATTTATCCTCCTTGATGCCCCCTGACACAAGTCCTTTGGGCCAGCCATCTCCTTGAGCGTTTTTCTGCATCCTGCTTAATGCTGTGTTTCCCTGACAACTCTTGGAGCTCTGCTGTGCCACCCTTCCTAGGATTAACAAACTGCCCTTTATCTTGTTTGTCTCTGGCGAACGCTCCTGCCAACTTCTGCCTCCGCTGAAGGTTTTTTCCTTCAGGATGTCACTTTCTCAAGTGGAGGCTGCATGTTCTCCCAGCCTTATCTACCTCAGGGTCATTCTTTTTGTTCTTCTTACCAATTCCCCAGTCCTTTCCCTTTTCTGAAGATCTCAATATGTGTTTTTTGTTTGTTTTAACCCCAGGCCCACTTGTCACTGTGGGTCCCTTTAACGTCCACGTGAATGACCTATCCAGTATTTTAGCTTCCACGCAGTCCACCTCAACCACCTGTGGTCGCACACCCTGGACCGCACCGTCCTCAGGACTTCGGACTTCACTGTTCCCCTCTTCCTGTTTCTCCTGTCTGCCCCTCCCCTCCTCTGGTAGCTGTCAGCACATGGCCATTGCTGCTTCTCCATTTGCTTCCAGCATCTTGACTCTCTCCTGTCTTTCACCTGTAATGCATGACCCCTTCTTCATCTCTGTTGCTGGTACCATCAACCCTGTTGTCTCATTTCCTCCTTCACACCCTCTTTGGGAAAGACCCTCAGCCCTGTATGGGTGCAGTATCCACCCAGGTTCCCGACGCTGCTGGAGAGAGTCACCCAAGTCTGATTTAATACTCAGTCCCAGCCGGGCACTGGGTACCGGCACTGTCCTCCCCAGTGTCCCTGCTCAGCCTCCTTGGCTGTCCCCATGGCAGCTCCCCAGTATCTCCCACTTACCTTCAGGATAAAATCTAAACACCCTAATTTGGTTTTCGAAGCTCTCTATGATGTGATTGTTACCTCATCATTCACCGCCCTAACCTTGTTTCTGTAAAATGTGAAGAAAGATGAGGCCCTCCTAGGGCAATGGTACCACTTTTAAGACCAATACATGTGATATGTTAGTTTTCACAGTGCTTTTTTTTTTTTTGACACATCTTGCAGCACCAAGTAGGAGCCTGGAATAAATCTTCACATCTCCTGCCCTCTCAGGGCGTGAATTCCAGGGGCTTGGGCTCGGTGTTTCATTGAGGTAGGGGTTTGTCAGGAGTATTTGAGAAATTTGACAAAAGTATTTCTGATGGGTGTCAGAATCTAAGCGTTAAGGGACACTTAGTTTCAACATACCTGTGCATATTCAGTGCCTGTGCTTGGGAAACTGCTTTGAAAGTCCTAGTTTTAAAAGAATGTTTCCTTAAGAAAGGAAGTCATAAACTAAGTAATAAACTCCTTGCTGAAGATGGTAAAGCTCCCCCCTCCCCAGCACACATACATGTTAGACTGGCTAGATTTAAAAAACCAACCCTACTGAGTGTTGGCCAGCGTGTGGAGGGACTGAAATTCATCAATGCTGGTGGGAGGGTAAAATGGTACATCTACTTTGGAGAACAGTAGGACAGTTTCTTTAAAAATCAAGGCTAAATAAACACAATAAAATAAACACATCCACACTATTCCCTGCATTCAAAAAAAAAAAAAAAAAAAAAGTTGATACACCTACCTTATTTTGAGCTGAGAGGGAAGTGGTTGGCCAACGGAGAGCAGGTTGGTCTGATCTTGCACATACCCTCTGTCATGAATACCCTGAAAGAACGCTTTCACTTTGATTCCATGCTTAGAGAGGTTTATTCCTGCCTCCGGAGGCTCACCACAGCCCCAGCCAGACATTCAGGCTGACTTTCAGGCTGACTTGGACCCTGAAAGAAAACCAGCTTTGGTGACCTGTGTCTCTCTCAGGTACTGGTGAGTAATTGTGAGGTAGAGCCAGTCACAGCCACCATTTATTGATATTGAGTACTTTCATATGTAAACGCATTATTTTGGTTTCACCTCACAGCCTTTTTGAGGGGGATGTTTTCCCCTTTCTCCAGATGAAAAAACAAAATCAGATTAATATGGCTTCTTTCTTACCTAGCTTTGGTGCCACCATAGCTCCATGGCCAAAGCCCTCTTCCACCCCCTCCTCATGGATAAAAGGGTGTTTTGCTTTGCTTTGGATTCCTTATTTCCCCAAGGCCAAGTGTGGGAAAATGCTGCTCTCCCTTGCTGTCCACTTTACCTCCCTTATCTTTCCTGGCCTCTGCTTCACTCTTTTCTGATGTTTAATATTTAAATATTGTGCGCTGGGTACTGCTGTGCTGAGCACTTTCCATCTGCTGTCTTAATTATTGAACCCTCCTGACAATGTTATGAAATGGTTGGTATTCCACCCAAGATGCCATGAGAAAATGGAGACTCAAGAGAGCTTCCCAGAGCACGCAGCCATATAAAGGTGCGTCAGACCCAGGGTTTCACCCCAAGATTGTCGTAAGCCAGAGCCGGCTTAACCACAGCATCACTCTGCTTCCATCCTAAATGTGTGAAGTCCAAGGGTGCATAGAAGAGAATCTGCATATGCTAGAATTTTGCATAAAGGAATCTCTTAGATGGTATGCTTATGCTCTACCAGACTTCTGGGGTGTGCCATGAAGTTCTGTATTTTAGCTGTGTAGTGTTAGAAAGGTGGGAGTTCCTCTAATAAACACAGTAAGGAAGGAGTATGGTTTGGGCTTCCTAATTGTGCTGAAGGCATCTCCTATGGCAACACGGGCATGTGTGTCCAGACATTAATAGCAGTTGTGACCAGGGTCCCCAGTGGTACAGGTTCCCAGATGCTGGCCCTGACCCGCAAGCCTGGGTGGCAGAGAGCAGGAGTTTTGCTGCTTCTGTTGCAGCAGGAACTTGGGTCTTCAGAATGCCATCCTGTCCCTTCTGCTCATGGACCCCGGGTGTCTGTCTGCTCGTTACACTCTTAACTGCGGCTCTGTCATGCTTTCGGTGGTCGTGGCTTGGTCCATCTTGCTGGGTGGCTGTGGGAGGGAAAGGCAAGGGCTCTTGGCTGGAAAGCAAACTAAGAGGTCATGAGACTTCCTTTTTATTTCCTCCCTTTTTTTTCTCCCTAGTATTGAGCATGCTCCACAATCCATTGGGCAGTGTCCTGGGGAAACCCCCCTTGAGCTTCCTGCCTCTGGACCCCCTTGGATCTGACTTGGTGGACAAGTTTCCAGCACCCTCCGTTAGAGGATCCCGCCTGGACACCCGGCCCATCCTGGACTCCCGTTCTAGCAGCCCCTCTGACTCAGACACCAGTGGCTTCAGCTCTGGATCAGATCATCTCTCAGATTTGATTGTATGTAACTTGCTGCAGAGTGGCTTGGGGAGAGCACGTGAGCTGGAGGTGGGATGCATGTCCACTAGAATGCAGGCTGCGAGGTGGCATGATGGGAGGTGTGGAGACATGTATAGAACTTTCCATCCTCGACAGAATAGAGGGTGCCTCGTATACCCATTATACGCACTGAGCAGTACATTCCAGGACCTGACCTGAGGACTCTACAGGTTACTCCAAGAGCCGTTGGGAAAGTTAGTTTCAAAAATAAATATGGGAGTCCTGGCAGTGTTCTGTTTCTTGACCTCCATTGGTGTTTTCTTAGCCTTTAAACAATATCATTTATGTACCTTTATGGATGATACCTCAAATATTTTAACCGATGATTTTAAGAATCACAAGTTAGTAATCAGTGGGGCTAGGGTTTTAATCCAGATCTGACTCCAGCTCTTTTTCAGAGGCCATGACGAATCCGTGAAATAATGTCTCAGAGTTAATCTTTGCGTCTCCTGCTCTGCATATACAGCCACGTGTGACATGTGTGGCATTCGTGCTAAAGGGAGTTGGAAAGTGGATTACGATAGATGAGGAATAGGGGATATTAGAAGTAAATATATAGGAATGGCAGGGAGAAATCATCCTAAAGTAAAATTCAATTTAAGGTGTCTTCTGAGCCTGCTTCTCTACTACCAAAGCCACTGAGCTGACTGTTCAGTGAATATAATGGCTATTTTCCTTCCCCCTTCTCTTCCGTATCCAAGACTGGGCCAACGCTGGTTGTTGCCACGTCCCATTCATAGCATGACCTCTTAGGGCCCACCTTGCCTCCCGCCAGTCTGTCCTAGGATATGAAAGCTGGCATTGGTGTCCCCACTACTCCCTGGTTTTATCTGTTCAGGATGTGTTTCCAGAAAGGTAACTACAAGCAGGGCTCCTTCGATTCTCTGGGCTGCAGTTTTTATTCCCCTATAAAATGGGATTCGACGGGATGCTTATATATATATATATATATATATATTTTTTTTTTTTTTTTTTTTTTTTTTATAATTCTTTTCATTACTTTATATGGGCCTCAGTCTTGGAAATTTGCCTCATAACCAGCTTTAATATTTTGGGATTTTGTTTAAAGGACTTTTCTCTGATTCCCACCCCAAAGGTTAATTGATGAAGGGGTATGAACAGACAAGTCACAGAAGAGGAAATAGAGGCAGTATTTGAACTTACAGGAAATATTCTATTGAGTGATTATTTTAGTTTATTTTTTGATAATGTGGTATCATTTCTACCCACTTAAATTAGTAGAATATAGAGCCTTGACACAAGCTTGTTGTTTTTAGAAACCTGTGTTCTCATACATTTCTAATAGAACACAGAACCTTCATAGAAAGCATTTTGGCATTCTACGTCTAGGAATCTGACCAGAGAACACACAAAATATGAAGAAGCTACATTTTATTTAAATGTTTTTTAAATAAAGTTTAAAGCTTTTATTTATAATCCTGAAAACTTGCAAAGTATCTAACTGTTTAACAGTAGGGGGAATAGGTCAGTGAAGTGTAGCTTGTTCCCTAAATAGAATATCATAAATTAATTAAAAATGGTTATGAAGACTGGCAATGTGGAGAAAAAGACTGAACTGGGGAGAAAAGAATTTGTTTAAATTATGGTATAAGGACAGCTAATCTTAAGAACGCATAGGAAGAAAGTCTAAACGAAAATATATCAAATATTGGTATTTTTCATAATTTCTATAGTGTGATTATTACTTTTGTAACAACTGTCCTTTAATTAAAAACCTACATCTTCCTTTTTTCTTCCCTAGTCAAGCCTCCGAATTTCTCCTCCCCTGCCCTTCCTGTCTCTGACGGGGGGTGGTCCCAGAGACCCTTTAAAGATGGGGGTTGGGTCCCGGCTGGACCAAGAGCAAGCTGCTCTGGCTGCAGTCACGCCCTCCCCAACCAGCGCATCAAAGAGATGGCCAGGAGCTTCTGTGTGGCCGTCCTGGGACCTCCTTGAAGCCCCCAAAGACCCCTTCAGCATAGAGAGAGAGGCCAGGCTACACAGGCAAGCTGCAGGTGAGTGTGGCTGTGGGCCTGCTGGGGGGGCCTGGGGCCTCGTTCTCGGGCAGTGAGTAAAAGTGACTGGGGAACTGTCCACAAGAGGACTTGACTGCATGGTGAAGTCGGCTTCTGCACAGAGTGGTCTATTCTGAGGAGTGAGTGCTAATGCGGACACACTCGGCAACTTTTTTGAGGCTGAGCAGAGAGGAACAATAGATAATCTGGCACACTGGGTTGTGCCTATTAGGGGTTGGATCCATCTCTGACTTTTGCTCTTCTGTGGAGATTGTGCACTGCTCTCGCGTTTGATTCTTTTCACAGGTGCATGTGTTCAAGAGAAACCCTGGAAATGGTGCCTAGAATTTTGTCTCCCTCCCCCTTTCTAATTCAAAGACATGTCACGCACAACCCACGCTGGAGCTTTCTTCCCCAGGGCTTTCTGATTGGTATACACAGGGATGCACTGGGGGGGGGGGGGGGGGGGTGGTCCATTTGTCAACCTCCAAGGTAAGGGATGTCCCCAGGTGTACTGGTCTCTCAGGGACCCTTAGATTCTGTCGTTTAAGTTACCTTAAATCCATTATTAAATCTGTTCATCTTATACCAGTACTTGGAAGCAAATGAGCTGTATATGTCATTGTTTACTAGTGCTTCAGGGAGATGCTCACTGACCACTATTGTAAGGTTCTGGAATTGATTAAATGAATGTTCAGTTTCTCCATTCCCTTTGTTTCCATAGGTTTCAATACGTCTGTCTTTCTACTCACAGAGCTAGCTAGACCTGATCTCATTCTCCCTAGCAGTGCTCCTGCCCTATTTTAATGGTTTCGGCAATCTGTGTTTGTACTTTCTCTGTTGCCATTGTTTTCCTGTGAAATGACTTTACTGTGCTTTTGGATGAGGCCATTATATCGACTTCTGTTTTTGTTTGCAAAATATTGCTGATGGTGTCTAATTTCTTGCTGTAGCAACACATTGGGCCTGTGCCTTTTAGAGAATGACCTTCCATGTTATTGTCCTGAATGAAAATGGTGGTTCATTTCATTAGCTGTCTGCTGCAGTGCTGGAGGAGGAGAGTAAAATAGGCGAGGACTAGCCAGTTCCCACTAAGGTCAGTCTCTGATCTGGAAGGGCACGGACTGAGTGGGGACAGGATTAAAGACTGATACGATAGAAGGCCCGGTGGTGTCTCTTTAGGTACCATAACGATAGCTTTGGAAATGACGGGGAATTACTCTGACATGGAACAGTTGTGACATTCTTACCTTGGGTTGCTGGTGCTGGTTTTTATTGGCAGTGTCCTAACTTCTGGGAGTGATGAGTTCAGGGAAACAGTATAACGTTCCTTATTTGAACATTTGGGGAGAAGGTCCATTTGGACCAGTAAGCATTTAGGATGTTGTATGAAAAATTGTCCTGTTTACTTTCAAGTACAGGCATACCTTGTTTTATTGAGCTTCACTTTATTGCACTTCACAAATACTGCATTTTAAAAAAAATTTTTATTTTATTTTGGAGCGTGGTTGATTTACAATGTTGTATTAAGTTTCAGGTGTACAGCAAAGTGATTCCATTATACATGCACATGTATCTATTCTTTTTCAAATTCTTTTCCCATTTAGGTTATTACAGAATATTGAGCAGAGTCCCCTGTGCTATACAGTAGGTCCTTGTTGGTTATCTGTTTTAAATATAGCAATGTGTACATGTCAATCCCAAACTCCCAATCTATCGATACTGCATTTTGGTTTTTTTATATACACATTGGAGGTTTGTGGCAACCCCGTGTTGTCAGATGATGGTTAGCGTTTTTTAGCCATAAAGTATTTTTAAATTAAGGTAGGTACATTGTTTTTTTAGACGTAATGCTATTGCACACTTAATAGACTACAGTATAGTGTAAATGTAAGTTTTATATGCACTGGAAAACCAGAAGATTTGTGTGACTAGCTTTATTGCAATATTCATTTTATTGTGGTGATTTGGAACAAAACCCTGCAGTATCTCTGAGGTGTGCCTATAATTACAAATTTAAATTAATTAGTATTGTAAGCAATGACTAGATAAAACTGCTTTCTGGTTATATGTTATATGTATGAAAATAGCTTGAGTTGTGATCATTTTTACCCTACACATCTGGTTTGCTATTCCTGTCAGTTTTAGTGGAGGCAGAACTAGTGAATTAGGGTTATCATACTGGGCTGACTGGTTTGGTGAGGTGTAAGTTTTCTTGCTTTTCAGAGTAGTCATGGATGTTCTCCCAGGCAGCCAGACTAGGACTGTGGCCTCTCTCCTCCTTCCTGGATAAAAGTTCACCACAGAGAAGGGCAGTGACTTTGTTAATTCTTTGACTCCTGTTTCTCTTTGTCTTCTGCCAAAGCTGTGAATGAAGCCACCTGTACCTGGAGTGGCCAGCTTCCTCCCCGGAACTACAAGAACCCCATCTACTCTTGCAAGGTGTTCCTAGGAGGTGTCCCTTGGGATATTACGGAAGGTGAGCTCTGAGACCTTCTGCTTCAAGTGTTGAAGGTGGGGCATGTCTTTCAGGAACAAGAAACTTGGACTTGAGGCCAAGAACTGAACCTCTGCCTGGGCACAGGGTATTACAGGAGCAACTGTGAATGGGAAAGGTGCACTTCATAGACTCCTACAGTGCTTCTGTGTCTGTTGCATACAGTTGTCACCTGAGACCAAAGGTCAATTCTCAGTTGTCTGTCAAGGAGGATGAGCCCAAGAGAATACCAGTGGCCCTGTGCCTTCCTCGGGAGGATGGTGTCTCAGTTTCTGTCATTCTTTTCATCTCTTTGCAGCTGGATTGGTTAACACCTTCCGTGTTTTTGGCTCTTTGAGTGTGGAGTGGCCTGGTAAGGATGGCAAGCACCCCCGGTGTCCTCCCAAAGGTAATATGCCTAAAGGTAATAAAGACATGGTAGGAGCTTTTTTTCCCTCCCTAGTATGTAATTGCACTGAGGGACGCTGGGGTGTCACAGCTGCATGATGATAACGAGGTTTGGGCACTCCACAGCACAGAACTTTCAGCTCTCGGCACTCCTTCTCAACCTCACACATCCTTCTGTTTCTTCTGAGCCAATGTTCCATCTGTCCAAACTCACACTGCAGTTGGAGCTCCCTGTGAAACGGCCTTGTGCACTTCCCTCCAAACCTGAACCCCAGCCGTTCCTGACCTCTCAAAATGAGGCGTTTGAAAAGCTTTCCTTTACTTGCCTTTCCTTCCCAGTTACGTTGTTGCCTGACCTAATTCTGAGCTCCCTTTGGAGTTAGCAGGAATGAGGACCAAGCATCTGATTTCTCACTGGTCTGAAATGAGATCCCTTCCCTGTAGAAAGGAGCAAGTGCTATTTTCACTCTGCCCCATCTTCACTGAAAGTGTTCCGATGAACTGAACCAGTGGTCTAACTAGGCTTTTAAAGGAATACCTCCATCCCCTGGCCCCAGACCTGTCATCGCTCCTGCCCCCAGGAAAGCCAGGCTTGCTGACCTGAACATGCTTTGTGTTGTGGGATAAAGATCTATGTGGTAACGATGGGATCCTCTGTCCTACGTTGCCAGTCCCTTCCCTTACTAGGGTGGGAGATGGTGTGCTTCTCCCTCCGTTGGCCTGGTTGTCCAGCATAGCAAATGCTTCCATTCAACAAGACTTTCAGGAGTAGGACAAAAACGTGTCTCACCCATAAGGCATCTTTCTCAGAAGAAACTCCCTGCCGCAAAACCAAGGCTGAGGAGTAGCCACCTGAGGGATGTTAATGCAGTTTCTCCTTCCATTGGATATAGGGTATGTATATCTGGTCTTCGAACTAGAGAAGTCTGTCCGGGCCTTGCTTCAGGCTTGCTCTCATGACCCGCTGAGCCCAGATGGCCTGAGTGAATATTACTTCAAGATGTCCAGCCGGAGGATGCGCTGCAAGGAGGTGAGTTGGCACAGCGTCCTTTCTGGATCGGGTGATTGGCATATGAGGCAGTGGATTTCATGGGGTGGGTGGATACACAGGCTGCAGACAAGTATCCCTACTGAGGCAAGAGGGCTGCTCTTCTTGCCCCACGTTGAATACAACAGAACACTCTCAGCTGCATTAACCCCCCACCCCGCACCTTTGGGCCCTAATGGTATGTATGTGCTTCTGCCCATGGAAATCAAACTGTCTCCCAGATCTCCTTCTATTCTAGCCAGTGCTTCTGTCCCAAACCTCTTGTCTTAGAAATGAAATTGAAATTAGCAGCTTTCTCTGCTTGGACGTAACTGAAAATCTACAGTTGTTTCTCCCTAGTCCTGCTCTCAGGATGTGCCTTCTCACCTCCTAATCTGTGGTGGGTAGACCCCTCTTTAGCCCACATCTATCCATGGATGACTTCTTCACTGCCATTCAGGGCTTTATTACTATCTAGTTTCCTCCATCTGGTTCTCTCTCCTTAGGCCGTCTCTGGTATCAACCTCAGCATCGTGAGTCTCTAGCATAGAGCCATCCTGCCTGGGAGCCTCACTGCATATTCTTGGACCCTATCTCAGGCTTATTACTAAGTCAGTTTGGGTGGAGTTTTAAGAATCTCCACTTTAGGACTTCCCTGGTGGCGCAGTGGTTGAGAATCCGCCTGCCGATGCAGGGGGACGCATTGGGGTTCGTGCCCCGGTCCGGGAAGATCCCACATGCCGCGGAGTGGCTGGGCCCGTGAGCCATGGCTGCTGAGCCTGTGTGTCCGGAGCCTGTGCGTCCGGAGCCTGTGCTCCACAACGAGAGAGGCCACAACAGTGAGAGGCCCGCATACCGCAAAAAAAAAAAAAAAAAAAAAAAAAAAGAATCTCCACTTTAACCAAGTTCCCCAGTGGTGCTAGTGGGTGGTGTTTGAGAACCACTTGTCAAAGGAACTTTTGAACTCAGGAATCAGTGTTATTTTTTAAAATTTGGTTCCAGAGTACATTACTTTTGTGATATTGGATGAGATATTTAATATCATGAAACTTCATTTCCTCATCTATAAAATGGAAAATTGAAATGCCTCTTTTAGTAAAAAGCTTAGCAGTTGCCAGGGGTTATGAGGGTAGAGGGGATGAATAGGCGAAGCACAGAGGATTTTGAGGATGGTGAAGATACTCTCTGTGATACTGTAATGGTAGATACATGCCATTATACATTTGCCAAAAACCCATAGAGTTACAGTGGTAAAACAAACCCCAAGCGTGAACCCTAATGTAAACCATGGATTTTGGACAATACTGACGTGTCAGGGTAGGTTTCCTGATTGCAGCAGGTGTGCCAGTCCTGTGAGGGGTGTTGAGAGTGGGGGAGGCTGTTCGTGTATGGATGCGGGGGGGGGGGGGGGGCGGTTATATAGGAACCCCACATTTTCAGCTCAGTTTTGCTGTGAACTGGAAGCTGCTCTAGAAAGTGAAGTCTACTAAAATCTGTAGGGTAATGGAGAAAATGCCTGTTTTATTGAGATAGTCACATTGGATTTAAAATAAATGATGCATGTGACAAAGCTGGCTCTTTGTTTTACGATGTTTCCTGGTGTTAGTTCACATTTTGTCCTCTGGCTGCGCACGGTGCCCCACAGTTTCCCTGCCTTCTTTCTTGCTGTGTGGAGCTCATGTAGTTATCACAACTTATGATGCTCTGGGACTTAACAACATGCTCCTTCTTCCCTATCCCCTGCTTTCACAGTGAGAGGCTGCCATTGCAGCACCACAGGCCCTCACCCTCCTCAGTGCCCTGCAGACACCTTCCTGCTCCTAGTCCCTTGTCACCGCATCGCACAGTGTTCGAATAGCTTCCTTTGATGCATGGGCTGTAGGCAGCTCTGGTTCTCATATCTCTCTGACCCTCTATTTCCTTTGTGTTTCCCCCTCCACACCAGAGTAGTAGGTATTTGATTCCCCCCTCTCTTCTTCCCCATGTCAGACAGGTTACTCACTTGTGTGGCTCTGCTCTTACCTTTAGACCAGACTCACCTCTCTAGTCTCATGTCCTACTTGAGCCCCACCTTCCTGTGGGGCCTTTCTTTGGCATGGCCTATAATTATAAATTCTTACTTTTAAGAAAGCTTGGAAAGCGTGGTGGCTGTTGGGATGTGAACCAAGATTGTGATACTTTCTCATGGTAATGGAGAAAGCAAGATGGGCTTTTGCATCTCCCAATGAAATTGGCTCCCCCTGGTAACTTCTCCCAGGCTCTCTCATCTCAAGCTTATCTAGGTCTAGAACCCATCAGACCTGATTCTTGTTTTCCCACCATGCCCAGGCAGTCTGAATTCTGCAGATTCTCCTGTTGAAGAATCTTCTTGATCTTGGCCTGTTCTTTGCCCAGTACCACCAGCCTTCTCCAGGTCTTCATCAGCTGTCCTGTGAACTACTGTTCTGCCTCCTTGCTGGTTTATGCCTCAGATCTCTTCCTGCTTTGAGACCTTTTTTTTTTTTTTTTTTTTTTTTAAAAAAAAAAAAAAAAAAGATCTTCACAGATTAATCTTCCAAAAACACGTACTGATCATCTGTCAGCTCACTTCATTCTGGAGCCTTCTGTCTGCTATGCCAGATTTTGTTCTAGGCTCAGGATTTGGAAGCAGAGGACATGGTCAGTTCCTGCCCTAGTGTCACTCTGCTCTGCAGAACCTCAGTGTCCTCCTGTGTGTGACTTCTCACACTACCTCTCTCCAGTTACTCCCACTGCTCCTGTCACAAGCCCTCTAGTGAGTACATGGGGCCAGTAACCATCTCATACAGATACCTTCAGCATCCCCACCCTCTGTCCTTCAAGCTCCTATCCTGTCATTCTCTGTGAATCCTTCCTGTCCCAAGGACCCTAGACCATGCTGTCTGTTCATCAGTGTCCATGGTCCTTTGTTGGAACCACATGGTTGAAGGTTGTAACAGTGCTAGGTTCCTGGGTATGACAGTTTGGGACTACTTTGCTTACTCTTCAGAATGGGTAGACTACTACTCATCCATTTTTTTAAAAAACCATCTTGGACTCATGGACTCAGTAAAATTCAAGTTTAGTTGTGTTGGGGTGAGGGTGGCTTGCTGAGTACCTGTGTGCCTGGGACTGTATGGGGCTCAGCTTAGCATCTCCAGAGCATGTGCCTCTCCATACGAGAGCCTTTTTCTGGCTCCCTACCAGGACTGATATACCTTTGGGTGGTTTTTAGGTACAAGTGATCCCCTGGGTCTTGGCCGACAGCAACTTTGTTCAGAGCCCATCTCAGAGACTTGACCCCAGCAGGACGGTATTTGTTGGTGCTCTGCACGGGATGCTCAATGCCGAGGCCCTGGCAGCCATTCTGAACGACCTATTTGGTGGTGTGGTGTATGCTGGGATTGACACAGATAAGCACAAGTATCCCATTGGTAAGTGTCCCACTTCTGTGTGGGAAAGCTGGGTGGCCCCTGGGATGTAGACCAAGATTGTGATACTTCCCTATGGGAGTGGAGGGGGAGACCTGACTCAGACCTGCAGATCAGCATATACCAGCAGTATAGCATCTTTTTCTAGATAAGCCACCAGTACTGACCCCTCTGTACCCATCCCTCTCCCACCACTTCCCTTGAAGGGGAGAAAAATTGTTAGGAGGTGAAAATGAAACAGGAACTTTGGTTGGAAGCTCAGAGTTCACAGCCAAACCACTCTGAGACAGACAACAGGTAATATTTCATTAAAAGGCCAGGACTTTCCTGAACTTGCTTGGTTTCCTTTGTTAAGAGGCCTTGAAAAGCGGCCTTGTCTAGGGTCAGAGACCACGTGAGGCTGAAGGAAGACTCTGGGTGACTCAGCCAACAGAGTATGGTCATGGCCTATGCTGTCCTAGTGTAGGGGAGTCGGGGGGCCTAACCACTGGGTTTTGGTCAGCCCCACTGGGAAAGGAGGGCAGTTTCCCAGTCGTGGTAGAATAATCTTAGTGGTGGGGTTTGGAGGTGGAGCAGAGCCTCAGCTTCCTGATCAACACGTGGCTAATCCACCTTCCCACATGCTTCGTCTGCCCACCCACGCAGAATCTGGTCAGGAAGGAGCATCTTGTGCCTTTCAGTGCCGCACCGCAGATTGAGAACAGGGACTTCAGAGGCTGCAGGGGCAGAGGCGGCACTTGGCAGGATGAGGCTGCTTCCGGCTCCCCTGCTAGGCTCTGGAGTACCTCCAGGCCAGGAGGGCCTTGACTGCTGGGCCTGCCTTCAGAGAGGTGTTCTATCTGCATCTTGCTTTCCACTCTGAACCCTTGTAACCGTGCCTGTGCATCTGCTTACACGGAGGAGTCTCTTCCCTCCCCCTTGTGGTCAGCAAGTCCTCCCCCCATTCCTGAGGGGGCTGTGCCATCATGGTCTACAGCTACACCGTCTGATACAGTGCCACCAGCTAAATGTGACTCTTGAGTGCTTGAAGTGAGCCTAATGCCACATGTTGAGATGATAATATTTTGGATATATTGGGGTAAAGAAAATAAATTAAAATTAATTCCACTACATTTTTCTTCTTCATTCCACTACATTCATTAAATGCGGCTACTAGAAAACTTAAAATTACATAAGTAGCCCACATTATATTTCTATTGGACAGCACAGCACTGATCTAGGAACAGGGTTCCCTGAGCGTTGACAAGTGGCGTTTGGGAGAATTTGGCTGGAAGGTAAGTTTTCCTGTTTTTCCTAGGGTCTGGTCGCGTGACTTTCAATAACCAACGTAGTTACCTGAAAGCAGTCAGTGCTGCTTTTGTGGAGATCAAAACCACCAAGTTCACCAAGAAGGTGAGTGGGCTGGTCTGTACCCTCACTCTGGGCCATCCGAGAGGGGTTTGGGCCAGCCACTGCCCAGGGCAGGCCTGAGACGGAAGCTGTCCCTGTGCTGGATATGCTTTGGGGAATGAGCCAAGCTTCTGAGGACACACTTGAGGTGAGGTTTGGGTTTGGGAGGGGCTTGGTCTTGGTCGACTCGGGGGGATGGGAGCTTGGGACTGTTGAGCCTCCTCAACATGTGGGGTGCCTTCCTGTGCTGTGTTATTTGGCCAGCTTTGTAAGGCAGCCTGACTTCTATTCTCCAGCCTGACCTGCATTTTCTGATTGCTTACTTGTTGCTCGATGATAGAGTGCCATGGTCCGGTTTGCCGAGAAGACCAGGCAGTAGCGTGTGCGGTTGCGCACACTTTGTAGAGCCAGCCTGGCAGCTTCTGCAGTTTGGGCACCTGCCATCAAGGATCTCTGTGCTCTCTGCCTATAGTTCTCTCTGGGCCCCCCTTAAAACAGGAAACCCCCTGTATTCACGTGGATGGCCCATGACATGCCCTTCTCTTCTGGCCCATTTGGCCTCCTGGTGAGAAGCAGCCACTTCATTATCCTGTTTTGCTTTGTGCAGGTTCAGATTGACCCCTACTTAGAAGATTCTCTGTGTCATATCTGCAGTTCTCAGCCTGGTCCTTTTTTCTGTCGAGATCAGGTGAGTCCCCTGGGCACTTGAGATGTTTATAAAATCCCCGCCTTCAGTTAAAGATTGTCATGTCTCATTTGTCACGTGGAATGCTGGAGTCCTCAGGTGCCTCGCGGTTGTCTTAAGAGCATAGAAGAGGCAGCAGTAATGTTTGCTGATGATCAGACCAGAGACACACTTGACCCAAAACTGTTGGGAAAGCTCGTTGAGTCTTGATACTTTGGCCTTCTCCTTGCCTGGGATGTTGGTTTTCAGTGTGGCACTATTGGTAATGGTGACTTTTGAGGATGATAGGAACCTGCTGGGCGTGGCCAGCAGTACCTATGAGCCAGGCACTGTTGTTCTGAGTCTAAGGCCTTCTGGATTGATTTTCCCCTATGCATGGAAGCTTGCTTTTTTTACTTCTGAACCTCTGGACTGTTTTGATATTTGTACCTGGTTTGTACCCAGTTGTCAGAAGCAGGCAGAAAGCAGCATGGCAGTTTTTGTTGAGTGTTTCTGGGTGGTGGAGCACAGATCTGGATGTACTTGGGCAGGCCTTCTCATAGTCTAACGTATATACGCATCACCTAAGGATCTTGTGTAAATGCAGATTCTGATTCAGTAGGTTTGGAGTGTGGCCTGAGATGCCTTGTTTCTGACAAGTTTCCAAGTAGTGCCAGTGTTGCTGGCAACAAGACAAGTTTGGGACGTGTTCGAATACTAGCAGTGCATCCATACTTAGTTATTTTTGCAGTGGTGCTGTCACTCAGGTTTGGAGTCTCTGGGTAGACAGTAGTTAAACTGAGGCTGCAAAATGAGGATATGAAGTAAGTTTGGGTTGCTGGGTAAAGCCGGAGAATAAGTGTATCTCTGAGTAGCCTCTTCTAGCAGGCTTTTGTGTGTGTGTATCTTCCACAGATGATCCCCATTTTTAGATAATGGCTCAGAAGTTTAGTGGCTTGCCCGGGCTTACACAGCCAGCGGGAGTGTGGGCCTGGGACTGAGGTAGTGCCCAGTGACCTCTCCTCACTTAGTGTGACGAGGGAGCCGTGCTGCCCGGCATTAGGGTCTGGAGTCACTGTCTTTAAATGTTCTCCCATGTTAGCAGGCGTGTGCTACAGCTGCTCCATAGGAGGTGGGAAGGGCAGGGGACTGGAAGAGCAGCTGTGGTGCTAAGAGGAGATGAGGGAAGCTGGCACAGTCTCTACACAGTAGGAGCCCAGCATCCTGGATTAAGTCTGGGCACCCATAGAAACAGGCAGTGGGTTTGCCATGGTTTGGTCAGGCCTCTGTTGGGGATGAGAGGGATCCCCAGGACCATCTCTTCTAACCCCACAGAGGCCATCAGGAATCCCCCACTTGCTCTTGGGCAGAGCAGGCAGCTCATGCAGCTGCCCCCCTGGCTGGTGCTGACACAGGCCTGGCTTCTCTCTGTTTTTCTCCGCTCCACCCAGGTGTGCTTCAAGTACTTCTGCCGGAGCTGCTGGCACTGGCGGCACAGCATGGAGGGCCTGCGCCATCACAGCCCCCTGATGCGGAACCAGAAGAACCGAGATTCCAGCTAGAGGAGCTGGCCTTGCCCAGTGGCCTGTGGCGCCTGAGGCTGGCAGGTCAGGCAGTAGCCTGCACCACCCTGCTGCCACTGGCCACCGGGGAGCTGGCTTCCCGAGGACAAGGGAAAATCGTAGTCACCTTTGCACTTGCTGAATCTGTCTTTGTTTCTGCACTAATTAATGCACAATGAGTTTTGTCGGATTTTGTTTTCAGGGGGTGTACCAGGGCAAGGACCCTTAGGCTCACCCTCCAAGCGACTCTGTAGTTTTCCCAGATTTTAGTTTCTCATTTTGCCGATGAAAAAGCAAAAAAGAACTACGTGTCCGGAAGGTATTGACACGATGCCTACATCTAGGTTTATTTATTAAAAGCGCTTTTTTACATTCCTTGCAATACTGATGGTGATGATGTGCAGGTCTCATTGGTTTCATTCTTGCAGTTGCCATACAGTGCCTTTCCATTTATTTAACCCCCACCTGAACGGCATAAACTGAGTGTTCAGCTGGTGTTTTTTACTGTAAACAACAAGGAGACTTTGCTCTTCATTTAAACCAAAATCATATTTCATATTTTACGCTCGAGGGTTTTTACCGGTTCCTTTTTACACTCCTTAAAACAGTTTTTAAGTCGTTTGGAACAAGAGATTTTTTTTTCTTTCCTGGCAGCTTTTAACATTATAGCAAATTTGTGTCTGGGGACTGCTGGTCACTGTTTCTCACAGTTGCAAATCAAGGCATTTGCAACCAAGAAAAAAAAATTTTTTTGGATTTGAAACTGGACCGGATAAACGGTGTTTGAGTGGCTGCTGTATATAGTTTTAAATGGTTTATTGCACCTTCTTAAGTTGCACTTACTTGGGGGGGGAGGGTTGATAGAAGTTTTTAATCACAAAGTCACAGGACTTTTTTCTTTTGTAACTGAGCTAAAAAGGGCTGCTTTTTGGTGGGGGCAGATGAAGGCTCACAGGAGCCCTTTCTCTCAGAGGGGACAAGTACCCTTCCCTTATTTCTTTCATTTGAGAAATGTATGAAGCAACAGTTGCAGTTGACTGAAATGCTACTGGAATTTGAAAACTTGACTTTTTCTTTTCTTTTCTTTTTTTTTTTTTTTTTAAAAAAAAAAAAACGACTTTCCCCTTTTTTTGGATGTCTTTTTGCCAAAGAACCAGTGTCATACCCCCCCCTCCTCCCTCCTGCTGAGCTGACGTTGCATTGTTGCATATCCCAGCTACTCTGTGGGTTTTGTGAAGCTGTGTGTGAAGTCTCTACCTCATTGTAGTATATGCAGGCAAGACTGCACTCTCCTACAGATGTGTGGAGTAAGCTGTGGTGTAGTTTTTTTGGCACATAATAAACACGTTGCAGCAGAGTTCTGGTTTTGTCTCTGTGTCTGAGCTGTGGGAAAAAGGGGGCAGTGGGACACCAAGATTCCAGAGTAAAAACCCACATTTCCTTGGATCTTCTGTGATGAGATTCCAGCCCAGGTTGATAGTGGGGCCATGTGGGGACTTGCCCCTGTAAGTCCTTCTTGGTCACTTCCGTGGTCAAATGCACCTCGGAGGTGCCTCTCTAGTAAGTGGGTACTTCTAGTCTAGGTATGTAAAAAGCCCTCACAAATAAACTTCTTGGGGCTCCTCTTTTCATAATCCTAGACTCAGCTTGGAGGAACTGGAGGCGCATAGCTCCCCAGAGGTCGGCACGAGCCACTTGTTCTCAGCTTCTCCTGTAAGCCTCAGAGCTGATTCTTCTTCTTGGGAGGCTTCCTATCTCTTGGAGTCAGCTGTGCTGACCCAGTTCTTTACTGAGTGGGAGTAAGTTTTTGCTGTTCTTCAGGACTGTCATCTGGACTCTTTCTCACAGGCGGGATGCCAGGATTTTTGAAAGGGTCTGCTGCTGATTGTTTCAGGTAGGTTGTTCCTGGGCCCAGCTGCTGGAGTGATCTTTGGAAGATTCCGTTTTAGTCTGCGGTGGAGGGAGCCCTGCACACTGAAGCATCCGTTCCGTGAGAGGTGCAAGAAGTCACTATCTTAGGGGGTGGGGAGTCCCTTCAGCCAAGAGTGAGAGGCCTCATCTTTCCCTTGAGGCCTGACTGGCAGCAGCATAGTTTGAAGTGTGCAGGTAAAGTAAACTGCATCTCTCTTGAAGGAGAGTCTGACTCTCCCTTTTGGTGTCCTGGTCTGTCCTGTCCTGTCCTATCCTATTCAGAGAGTCATCTCTTCTCCCCTTTGGTCCCTCTTTTGTCCAGGTGCTACTTTCAGGGCGCAAGGGCTTCCTGTCCTTCAGCCTTCCATTCTCAGTCAGTTCAGAGACTGACTGGACTGTCCAAGGTGACCAGGAGTTGAGTTGGGGGATGAAGCACAGCCTGGTGCCCCTTAACTCATCCAAACTGGGCAGCCCAGTCTTTCTTTAAGTCAGGCGGGGACTTGGAACCCACTTAAGCAAAGTTGGAGATAAGGAGCAGGGCACTCCCGAGGCTAATGAGGCCACCAGGGGTAGCCTGTGCTGGTGGCCTCAGAAGGACCTGGTTTGCGGATGGGTACAGCAGGAACAGCCTTGTGACGGTGGTGGTTGGAGAGAGTGCCTCAGCTGGGAGCGCTACAGGTGAACTGGGCCCTTCACTTAAACATTTGAGAACTTGCTTTGTGCTGGGCAGTGTTCAAGGCAAATACTGCCATGGAACTCATCCCTAGCTGAGAAAATTGAGACAAGTCACTGTGACGTGCTAAGAAATACTAGAGCAACTTTAAAAGGATAGCAATGCTAAAAAAATGATAAAAGGATAGCAGTGTTACTTTGTATAAATTGGAGGGAAAGTTCCTCTGATAAGGTGACGTTTGAGCAAAGACTCGGAAGAAGTGAGATAATTCTTTCCCAGTTGTACCTGTGTCTCCACCAGGCTAGACACAAGTCTGTGACCCATGGATTGGGTGGGGATCCTGTGCACGGCGCCATCCCCTACTTCCTCACTTTTCCGCGCTCCCGCCTTCCTGATGGCTCTTAAGCCTTCATCCCTCTCCGCATCATGTGTGGGAGAGATGCGCCGCCGCTCTTAAGTCTAGGGCACTTAATGGGCGACCTAACCACTGAAGAAGGGTCTAGAGAAACCTGCGTAAGACCACCCTAGTTGGGGCGGGGCGGGGCGGGGCGGGGCGGGTCAGCCACTCGCTACGCCCACTGGATGGCGATTGGCCATACTTCCGTTCCATTCCGCCCCGCCCCTCTAGGGGTCGCTGTGCTGCGCTTACAGTCGGCTCAGCGCATTTCAGACTAGGCGGAAGCGGCTTTCTGGCCTGCGCTTTATAGGCCTCTCGTGCTTCCTGTTTCCTCTTTTACCAAGGACCCGCCGACATGGTAGGTGTTTTTGTTTCCAAGCTGGTACCCCCCCACAATCGTCCTCCATCCGCCGCTTTGCGCGGCCCCCAGCCCGCGAGGAGGGGCGCAGTACCCTGTGAGGCCGAAGCCTCCGTGGGCCGCTGGCTTCCGCGTTGACCCCGCGCTCCAGCACCGCCCGGCCGGCCTTCTCCCCATCCTGGGCTCAGACCCAACCCACGAACCCCGCTCCGGTCAGGGCGTGACGCCGTGCTGTTCCCCGGAGGGGGTTCCTGAGTCGCAAGTGACCCTGTGTTCTCCACTTGCAGGGCCGCGTTCGCACCAAAACCGTGAAGAAGGCGGCCCGGGTCATCATTGAGAAGTATTACACGCGCCTGGGTAACGACTTTCACACCAACAAGCGCGTGTGCGAGGAGATCGCCATCATTCCCAGCAAGAAGCTCCGCAACAAGATCGCAGGGTGAGTTCAGCCGGCGCTCGGCCTCCAGGGCCTGCTGGGAGACGGAGAGTCGTGGCCCCGCGGGTGGGTCGTGGGAGCTGGCTGTAGCACTAGTCTCCCGCTGCTCCGAGAAGAGCGCTGGAGGTGTACCTTTGCCGGGTTTCTTGGTGGGGTTGTCTTATGTTCGCGTTGTATTTGGCGGTTTGACTGGCGGTGGCGCTTGGACGAGGTTAGCCACAGTCGACCTCTGGAAGACTAACGTTAAGTAAGGGCGTACGTGATTTAATGCTAACTTATGTAAATTGGAATTCGAAGTAAAGAAAATGAAGGTTGGGAGGAGGAGTCGTGAAGGTTTGTTGGGAGTACTTGATAGCTTTGAAAGCGAATTTGAATAGAGAGGATGTGCGACACCAAAGGGACAGGCATGCCTAGGTAAGTGGAGCTGCGTGTGGAGGTTTTGTGTATGTAGGAGGTTCAGAGTCAGGGCCCCCAAGGTGAATCCTCTCCCTTCTCACTGCGGGAAGAGAACTAAAATACACATCCAGACGTTCTGGGTACCAGTGGGAGCCAATGTGTGTTCTTGGGCATTTGTTCTTTGTAGCTATGTCACACATCTTATGAAGCGGATTCAGAGAGGCCCAGTGAGAGGTATCTCCATCAAGCTGCAGGAGGAGGAGAGAGAGAGGAGAGATAATTACGTGCCTGAGGTAAACTTTCTGGGTCTTATTCTGGATCTCTTGTTCATCCTGAAAGATAAAGCAGGTTCCTGAGAACCGTTTCAGGTACTTGGTTTTCAAAGGGACCTCGGCTGAGTCTTCATATGCCCTTTGACCAGCTGTAGGTGCCTATAATTTACTTGCCTGTATGTTAGGTTCTGTTCTGCCCTGTTGGGATCACGTAAGTCCATTCTGTTTTATACATGAGAGCCTTTTAATGATGTTTGTTTGGTGACTTATGTCTTCTGGTTTGATTATTTGCCCTAGCATAGTATTTCTGCAGTATAAACCCAATCTTAAGGTTTTCTAAATACTGGATTCGTGGGATCCTACTGTATCCTCTCTATGCCACCCATCCCCGTCCCCCACCCCCTTTTTTTGTTCCTCATTTAAGAATCTTAAGAGAAAAGGCAGGGAAGGTGAGAGATAACTCATTGCTATTTGGGGCCTGTCTTGTTCCTTATAGGTCTCAGCCCTGGATCAGGAAATCATTGAAGTAGATCCTGACACTAAGGAAATGCTGAAGCTCTTGGTAAGTGTTTGCTCAATTCCTAAAGTAGGGCTTCCCTGGTCACCATCCATCAGTAGCTTTCTACTATGGGTAATACTTCTAGGTAACACTTAACTGAGTCTTTAAAATACATCAAGTAATCTCAATGTTTCTATATGGCGTTTCCCTTTTCCTCAGTATGTCCCATGAGGCAAATCCTGTTATTTACATTTTATAGATGATGAAATGGTAACTTCAAGGTTAGTAGGTGGCAGGGATGGGAATCCATCCACCCTTCTAACCACTAACCTAGACTGCCTCCAAAGTGGGTTTAGCTAGTTATTGAAGGTTCAGTTTGCTCTCCACACGAGGATAACTCCCAAATCCAGTGGCTGTTCTTCCAGGACTTCCAGAACACCCCTTCTCTCAGTTCCTTCTGTTCTCTTCTCGATTTTGTGGCTGGCTTCTCACATTTACCCCCTTGGTTCCATCCTTAGTTCTCTTTTCAGTCTGCCTGCTTACTTCTATATCTGTATGCTAATCACGCAAATGAGCTGTGGTCTCATTTCCAGTTGCTAACTGGGCACTACTTTGGGTAGTTCAGCTATCTTCAATACAACCTGATAAGGGTCTCTCCTGTGACGTACCTTAGTACTTTAGTAGTTTGGTGAAAGCATGAGCTTCAGAGTCCAGGAGGCAGTTGGTGATTTAGAGCAACTTTATTTTTCCTTTTTATGATCGTGAAACGTCTAAGATGTTCAGAAAGATAATGAATAGAGTGAACACCCATATACTACCACCTGGTCTCAGAAAAACATAACCAGTACAGCTAACGCCTGCTACAGATCATTTTGTCCTGAAATACTACTCTGGAATGCATCTTTTTAATTTCAACTGTAAAATTGGTTTTTGAGGATAAAATGAGGAATTAAATTCTGGTTATATGGTGGGCCCTTGGGTTCTTTTTTTTTTTTTAACATCTTTATTGGAGTATAATTGCTTTATAGTGGTGTGTTAGTTTCTGCTTTATAACAAAGTGAATCAGCTATACACATACTCTTGGGTTCTTTGCACTTAGATTGAGCCACCTTAAAGGCAGGCCCAGACCTTGTCCTACCACTGTTCTACCCAGGCCCTTCACAAATGTTGATTGCATAAGTAATGCCTCCTACCTGAGGGCTGGTCTTGGAAATGAAGTGGCACTGTATATGCCTTGGAGTAGTGATTCTCAAAGGGACAGATTTTGCACCCCACAGGGAACATTTGGTAATATCTGGACACATTTTTGGTTGTCACAACTGCGGAATACTAGCAGACATTAGTGGATAGAGTCCAGGAATGCTGTCAAACGTCTTAAAGTGCACAGGACAGCTCCTTCATGGCTGACTGTGGAGGATCCTTCAGATCGCAGTCGTAGACTCCCTACAGAGTTTATTGCTCTGGGGTGGGGAGGAGAAGGCCCTCTTGGTTTTCTGCAGGGTCCCACCAATCTGACCCCAAGGTTGTGGAGGCTGACAGAAGCATAGCCTAATGGTGGTGCCGGGGCTCTGGACACAGATCTCACCAGTACAGCCACACTAAGCCCCTTTTTATTGTTCCAGGACTTTGGCAGTCTGTCCAACCTGCAGGTCACTCAGCCTACAGTTGGGATGAATTTCAAAACACCACGTGGAGCCGTTTGAATCTTTCTGCTGTGCTGTAATATTTTCAATAAACCTCGGACAACAACCGTGCCTGTGTCATCTGTGGGGTTGGGTGCCGGTGGAGCTAAGGGCAGGAATTCTTTCTCAAGGGAGAAGTATCCTGAAGAAGAGCGGTCTGCAGTGTGACGCATCTGTAAGTGGCCTATGGGCAGCGCCCATACAGATTACGGATGTATTAGGAGGCCTGAGCTTGGACACCTGCATCACTTCTTTGGTTGCCAGCTCTACCCTTCTTGGTCCTCCCAGGCCCTGAGCACGCACTCTGGCTTCAGACAAAAGTCAGGAGATGCCTTTCCGTCCTCACCCTGTAGGCCCTGCTTCAGCCTCCTCTGAGTACATGCAGTTTGGGTTAATGAACCTGCCGGGTCTTGAAAGGGTAACGCTCCTCATGTGTGTGAGGGTTGGGCTTTCTGTGGGTGGGAGATAGGATGGGTGTGGAGGCCAGTACCTGGAGCATAGGAGATTGAATGAGTGTGAATGGATGTGTGGGGGAGGATCAGTGAAACACAAGGGGATGTGTCAGTTCAAGGGAGGCTGAGCTCACTGGGTGGATCCCAGGTGGGTGGATCTGAGCTTGGGGAGCTGCTGAGGCTGTGGGTCCAACTCTGTGTTGTGGAGAGTGCTGGGTTGGGCTGGTCCCTGCTGAGCAGTGGGAGGACAGCTTGCAGCACAGGCTCCTTTGCTTGACTGTCCTGGGCTGAGCTGGGCCTGTTTGTGTACATGGTGCTTGTCAAGATCTCTGCAAGGTAGTGGCAGGACCTAGGTCAGTCTGGCTCTCCATTGATCCTTGCACATCTGGTTCTGTGAGGCAGATACGTGCAACAAACATCCTAAAAATGTGTATTGTAGCAGTACAAAAAATTAACAATTTTGATACAATTTCAAACTTGAAAAGTTGCAAGAATATATAGCACAAAGAACTTTAAAATACTCTTACCCGACCTCAGCTCACATTTTGCCCCAATTGCTTTAATTCTGTCTCTATACACACTTTTTTTTCTGATCCATTAGGATCAAACAGTTAGAGATGGGGCCTTGTGTTCTAAATATTTTATTGTCAGTTTGCTAAGAACAAGCATAACTGCCGATCAATGATCATAATCGGGAAGCCTAACATTGATATCATACTGTTACCTAATCCATAGTCCATTGTAAAATCTTGCCAATTTTTCCAATAATATCTTCCATAGTCTTCTTTCCTGGTTCAGAATCCAACCCAGAATTACTACATCTAGTTCTCGTGTCCTTCAGCCTTCTTTCCATGTCTGTCTTTGAAAAGTATTGGCTGATTTTGTAGAATGTCCTTCAATTTGGGTTTGATGTTGGCTCACAATTAGATTTAACTGAGCTTTTTTCTGTAGGGATACAGATGGTCCCTGACTTAAAATGGTTCGATTTAAGATTTTTTGACTTTAGGATGGTGTGAAAGTGATATTATTCAGTAGAAACTACTTCAAATACGGAATTTTGATCTTTTCCCAGGCTAGTGATACGTGGTCGGGCTCATGATTTCTGGGCGGTGGCAGTGAGCCACAGACCCTAGTCAGCTATGTGATCTCAAAGGTAAACCCAACAATACACAACTATCTTTTTGTACCCATACAAACATTGTTTCACTTTCAGTACAGCATTCAATACGTGAGATACCCAATACTTTATTATAAAATGGGCTTTGTGTTAGATGATTTTGCCTAACTGTAGGCTAATGTGTTAGAACATTAAAAGTAGCCTCAGCTAAGCTATGATGTTCAGTAGGTTGTGTATTAAATGCATTTGTGACTTAGGGTATTTTCAATCTACGATGGGTTTATTGCAACATAACCCCATCATAAGTCAAGGAAGATGTGTACCACAGAAGAGATACTGTGTACTTGATGCATCATATTGGGAGGCACAGAATACTTGGTGAGTTTGAGTGATGTTTACTTTGAGCACTTGGATTAAGGGGCATCTGTCAAGTTTCTCCACTGTAAGTTACGAGGAGGTATTTCGAGGCTAAATATCCTGTTCTTCTACTTTTCACTCACTAGTTAATAGCATCTATTAATATTTTAACTCCATTATTACCTTTATATTTATTAGTATTGTACAGTAAGGAAGAGCTTTCTCTTAAAACTTTTTCTTTCCATTTTTTGATGTGGAGTCGGGCATTCTCAGCAAATACTCTTGCCTTCTAAATACAGCTCCGTATAAAGAAGCCTTTCCTCTTGGTTTTTGGTGTCAATGATGAGGAAAGGGGTGGGCTTCCTGTATGGCGGGAGAAATTAGAGTTGGGTTAAAATTACCAATGGGTAAGAAAATTAACAAAATGCCAAACCAGCAACAAGGCCGTTTGCTGTGATGTTTGCCACACTCGCCTACTAGGAGGCAGTGTCATTGCTATTCCACATCTGCCTGGCTCCTCTACCTCTAGGCCCTGTGCTCTAGATAACTTAAGATGAGGGATGGGAAGGGTCGGGGGAGGAGGAGGGAGCCGACTTGGGCTGCACGAAGAAGCTGTTTATCCTCCATCAGTTTCGAGGAGCTTCTCTAGGCCTTAGTTCTTTCATCTGTAAAATAAGACCTGTGCTCATTAGAACTTCCTGTGGAGCTTGTTAAAAGCAGGTGGCCAGGCCCTGACCCTGATTTGGGCTGTGATTTGTGTGTTCAGGAGGTGGGTGGGGCCTGCGTGGGTGTTTTCACAGGTACTTGCTGGCAGTTCCAATCCCAGCTGGTTTGGAAACTGCCAGCCTAGCAACTAGCACTGGCTGGCCCGCGGTGCAGTCTCCCATGTTTGGGGTCAGATAATGCTTTTCGCATAAAATAGACGAGTCTTCTGCCTTCTGTGTCACAGACTCTGCTTCTTCAAGATTTGAAAGGCCCCAGGAAAGTTTTGGAGGTAATTATCTTCTTTTTTTTCTATATTGCCCTTAGTTGTGTTAAAGTATAACTTTCAACAAAGTGAAATGGCTCTCATACAGATGGATATAAAATGAACACATGTTAAGCATTTTTAAAAACTCAGAGAACTGAGATGTTACAGTCAGTTCAAAGGAGAAGTCAAGGACAAATTTGGAGTAAAAGAACGTTGAAATGAATTTATAAATGGACACGAGACTGACTTCTTCCACAGGAGGGAAGTCAGCTGAACCTCTACCCAACAGAATTTATTTATTTGCATTTGTCTATAGATAAGAATTATTTGTATTATCAGGTATCTACAACTTACAGAGTTGTAAAATAGTTCCAAGGCAGTGAAAGGTGCAGAGCCTCTCTATAGAATCCAAATCAAAACCCAGGTTGTTGCTCTTAACAGTTGAAGCACAAATTTTCCCCTCTATCTGTAAATTCATATTCTCTGTATTGCTTATGTTGTTAGTATTTTTAATTTTACTAGTATATAATTATAGTTTTCTCATAATTAGGAAAACTCCGTTATTATGTGTCATTTTAAATGTTATGTTTGTTTTCTTTTCTAAATTAAACTTGTCAGATGTTTATTTTATCCGTAGTTTCAAAGAACTAGCACTTGGAGGTGTAACTTTCTTTTTACTTTACTTTTACTTTCCTCATCAGATACTGGAAAAAAAACACGGATTCAATTGTGAGGAATGTGAGTAAAGCTCATTTTCTCTTTTTCAACTGCAGGGGTCAGCAAACTATGCGCAGCTGCCTGTTTATGAGTAAGCCATGAACTAAGAATGGTTTTTCACATTTCTAAATGCTTTAAAACAATAGCAACAGCAAGAGGAGAATACTGTGGCCTGTGGAAACTATACGAAATTCAAATCAGTGTCTACATACAGAGTTTCATTGGGGTGCAGCCACATTCATTTGTTTACAAATTGTAGATGGCTGTTTTCCTGATGCACTGGCTGAATTTAGTAGATGCCACAGAGACAGTACGAAGCAGTGTTACCACTTTGCAGTACAGACTGCAGTTATACATTTATAACTCAATAGTGTTATGAGGGCCATACCTATCACCATATCGTGACATTTAATTTTTTAAAAATTATTAGTGCATACTTAACGTTAAAGAAAAACGAGACACCCCGCCCCGTCTCGGAACGCGCAGGGCGACGGCGGCCGGGGTGGGGGTGCGCGTGTGTGCCCTGGGCCCGGGCCCCCCAGGAGCCATAATCCTGGAGGGACCCGCTCCCAGGAGTCATGTCCCTGCGCCCCGCCCCCCGGGAGACATAATCCCTGCGCCCCGGCCGGGCCCCTAGGAACCGTGTCTACAAAGTCCCGGGGGCCGGTGTGGCAGGTGCTGGGCTCACTCCGGGAGGCGGCAGGCGCCGCGAGCCCCTTCCCGCAGGGGCGCCTGTGCCGCGGACCGGCGGCCGGGGATGGCGGGGATCGCGGGGGACAGGAGCGCAGCGGACAGAGAGGCCTGGGCGCCGCCGGTTCATGTTGCTGTTTACGCTGCGGGCGCGCAGTGCCCCCTGCCTGCCCGCCAGCCCGCTGCTCCCCCGCCCGCTCCAACACGCCCTCAGTGCGCCTGCCGCTGCGCCCCCGAGCGCTAGACCGCGCGGCCGCCATGGGGAATGGGATGAACAAGATCCTGTCTGGCCTGTATATCGGCAACTTCAAAGATGCCAGAGAAAAACAAGGTGACACACATTCTGTCTCTGCACGACAGCGCCAGGCCAACATTGGAGGGGGTTAAATACCTGTGCATACCAGCAGCGGATTCACCATCTCAAAACCTGACAAGACATTTCAAAGAAAGTATTAAATTCATCCACGAGTGCCGCCTGCGAGGTGAGGGCTGCCTTGTTCACTGCCTGGCCGGCGTCTGCAGGAGCGTGACTCTGGTGGTTGCATGCATCATGACGGTCACCGACTTCGGCTGGGAAGATGCCCTGTGCACTGTGCGTGCAGGGAGGTCCTGTGCAAACCCCAACCTGGGCTTCCAGAGGCAGCTCCAGGAGTTTGAGGAGCACCAGGTCCATCACTTCTGCCAGTGGCTGAAGGAGGAGTACGGAGAGAGCCCTTTGCGGGATGCAGAAGAAGCCAGAGGCATTCTGGCCACCCCAGGGATTCTGAAGTACTGGGCCACTCTCAGAAGACTGTAATGTACCTGAAATATTGCAAAGCCAGAGTTTAGGTGCTGCCCAGAAGAATAGCAGACAGAGTTTAGGTGCTGCCCAGAAGAAAAGCAACCAGAGTTCATTTTTCAGTGTCCAGAAGTAATTTGTGAACTCGCCTGTTTTCATTTTAAACAATATATATGCAATTGTGTCATCAAAAAAAAGAAAAAGAGAAAACTGGGCTTTAAATGTTATGTTTTTAAGGTATGAGTAACCCATTCATTCGGTAGGCAAGGGAAGCTGTTTACCAATGGTGAGTTAATTTCTCTGGAAGAAACGTGTGCAGAGTAAGTAAACTTATTTAAAACTATTAGCCTTTGGGTGAGAATGGTTGCTTAAAGGGGTGAGAATGGTTGCTTAAAGGGGTGAGAATCGTTGCTTAAAGGGTTGAGAACATTGGGAGCAATATCAGCAGTCAATTCAAAACAAGGCAAATGATTTTGAATGGTTTTCCTTGGTTCTTGATGAGTCAAAGTGTTAACCAATACTGCTCAGCTGTTATGCAAGGGTCAATGCCAACCTTGAAGAGTCTAAAGAATTAGCCTCTAGAATAATCTGCATAGAACAACTACAGGTGAGAATAATTTTAAAGATGAGAAATCACTGATTCAGTATAACCTGAAGTGGGAATTGGCTGAGCTAATGTTACAGCTGATTTTGGTAGAAATACATGCAGAGCAGAAAAGGGCTTATTTGGACAGACCTCAAAACTTGCTGAAATGTAAAGTGTTTAAAACCTGTGTTATTCATTATGTTACTCATTAATACGTATTCTGTAGAAAATATCTAAATTTCAATTATTGAACCAGTACTGTTAGCAGTGAATTTTACTCACTCTCATAGAGTTAACCGTCATCAGTTCCATGAATTTTGGTAGTTGTATTTAACTGCGGTAAAGTTTTTTTTAACATATAATATTTGTTATTTTAACCAGTCATAATTGTATAATTAGAGGCAATAAATATGTTTACAGTGTTATGGTAACCATCATCACTGTGTCTAAAACTTTTTCCTCATCCCCAACAAAAACCGTGTACTCGGTAAACAATAACTCCCTATTCCCCATATCACATTTTGTTTATCCATTCATATTTTGGTAGACATTTTGGTTGCTTCTGCTTTTTGGTTGTTGTGCAGAATGCTGCTATGAACATGGGTGTACAAATATCTGTTTAAATCCCTGCTTTCAGTTATTTTGAGTATATCCAAGAACTGGAATTGCTAGTTCATGTGGTAAATCTATGTTTAATTTTTTAAGGAAATGCCGTACTATTTTCCACAGCAACTGCACTATTTTACATTCCTACCAGCAGTGTACAAGTTTCTCCACATCCTTGCCAAAACTTGTTACTTTCTGGGGTTTTTCTTGGTTTTGATTTTGTTCTTTTGATAAGAGCCATCCTCGTGAGTGTGAAGTGGTATCTCATTGTAGTTTTGATTTGCATTTCCATAATTAGTGATATTGAGCATCTTTTTAGGTGTTTATTGGCCATATGTATATCTTCTATGAAGAAATGTCTGTTCAAGTTCTTTGTCAGTTTTTAAATTGGGTGTTACTGAGTTGTAGGAGTTCTTTGTATATTCTGGATATTAATTCTTTATCAGATATGATTTGCAAATATTTTCCCTCATTCTGTGGGTTGTCTTTTCTCTCTGTTGATAATGTCCTTTGATACACAAAAGTTTTAACTTTTGACCGAGTTCAATGTGTTATTTTTTCTTTTATTGCTTATGCTTTTGGTGTCATATCTAAGAATCCTTTGCCAAATCCACAGGCATGAAGAATTACTCCTATGTTTTCTTTCAAGAATTTTATGGTTTTAGCCCTTATATTTAATCCTTTGATACATTTTGTGTTAATTTTTATATATGGTATGAGGTAGGGGTCCAACTTCATTCTCTTGCATATGGAAGTCCTGTTGTCCCAGCATCATCTGTTAAAGAGACTATTCCTTTCCCGTTGATTGGACTTGAGACCCTTGTCAAAAATCAGTTAGCCATAAATGTATGGGTTTGTTTCTGAACTCTCAGTTCTATTCCATTGGTCTATAAGTCTGTCCTTCTGTCAGTCCACAGCGTTTTGATTACTGTAGCTTTGTAGTGAGCTACGAAGTGTGGGTCCTTCCACTTTTTTTAAGATTTTTTTTTTTTTTTTTTTTTTTTTGTCTACCTGGGCTGTATAAGTTTGCTAGTGCTGCCATACAGAATACCACAGACTTAAACAGAGATTTATTTTCTCACAGTTCTGGAGGCTAGAAGTCCAAGATCAAGATGTAAGCAGGTTTGATTTCTCCCGAGGCCTCTCTTCTTGCCTTGGAGCTGGCTGTCTTCTTGCTATGTCCTCACATGCTCTTCTCTATGCATGCACAGCCCTGGTCTCTCTGTATCCAAATTTCCTCATCTAATAAGGACACCGGTCAGATTAGACTAGGGCCCACCCTAACAGACTCACTGTAACATAATTACCTCTTTAAAGGCCCTGTCTGCAAATATAGTCACACTCTGAGGTACTGGAGGTTAAGGCTTCTGCATATGAATTTTGGGGAATACAGTTCAGCCTATTACATGGACTCCATGCACTGAATTTGAGAATCAGCTTTTCCATTTCTGCAAAAAAAGCCCACTGGAATTTTAATAGGAGTTGCTCTGAATTTTGTAGATGGCTTTGGGTAGTATTGACATCTCGACAGTATTAAGTCTTCCAGTCCATGAGCATGAGATGTCTTTCCACTTATTTAGATCTTCTTTAATTTCTTAGAGGAATATTTTGTAATTTTCAGGGAACAGGCCTTTCACTCCTTGCTTAAGTTTATTCCCAGGCATTTTATTCTTTTAGATTGTGCTATTGTGGTATAATAAGACATATATATTTGGTCTTTCTCCCCAGTTCTTGGCATAAAATCTTCTAAAACCCTTGGAATTTCCTGAGTGTTATTCATAATAAGCCCCTTTCAACCATACCTGAGTTTATGCTAATGAGGTGACTCTTGGTGGGCTGTAGATCACTTCAGGATGGGGGCTAGTTGCTAGAGGAACCAACCATGTGAATAGAGGACTGGAACTTTTTAGCCCCACCCCCTGACCTCTGTGGAGGGGAGGGGGCTGGAAATTGAGTTAATCACCAATAGCCAATGATTTAATCCATCACGTCTACATATTTGAACCTCCATAAAAACTCTTAAGTGATGGGGTTTGGAGAGCTTCCAGGTTGGTGAATGTGTGCTGGGAGGGTGGCACATCCCAAACTCCTTGGGGACAGAAAATCCTGTGCTGAGGATCCTTCCAGACCTCACCCTATGTACCTCTTGGTCTGGCTGTTCATTTGTATCCTTTATAATAAACCAGTAATAGTAAAGTTTTTCTCCAAGTTCTGTGAGCTGTTATAGCAAATTACTGAACCTGAGATGGGGCCATGGGAACCCCCAGTTTGTAGCCAAATCAGACAGAAGTATGGGTAACCTGGGGACTCAAAACTTGTGACTAGCCTCTGAAGTAGGGGGATTGAGATTTTAATCTGTGGGGTCTGTGCTAACTCTGGGTAGTGCGTGTCAGAAGTGAAATAAGTTGTAGGGCACCCAGTTGGTGTCTGCAGAGAACTGGCGAATTGCTTGGTGTGGAAAACCCACACATAGATATTATTGTAAATTGAATTGACTTCTCAGTTTTCTTTTCTAATTATTCATCATTGGTATACAGAAACAACTGATTTTTGCAATTTTGCTGAATTTGTTGATTCACTCTAGTAACTTCCTTGTACATCCCTTGGGATTTTCCATGTGTAGGATCATGTCACCTGCAGATGGTTTTACTTCTTCATTCCCAATTTGGATGCCTTTTATTTCTTTTCTTGTTTAATTGCTCTGCTAGAATTTCTAGTACAGTGTTAAACAGCAGTGGTGAAAGCAGGCATTCTTGTCTCATTCATGAAATTACAAGTAAAAAGCTTTCAGTCTCTCATCGTGAAGCATAATGTTAGCTGTGGTTTTTTTCATAAATGCCCTTTATCATGTTGAGGAATCTTCCCTCTATTCCTAGTTTTTCTGAGAGTTTTTATAGTGCAAGAGTGTTGGCTTTTGTAAATGCCTTTTCTGTATCAATTGAGATGACAGTATGTTGTTTTTTTCTTCTACTACTGTGATACATTATATTCATTTTTCTCTTATGTTGAACCCTTGCATTTCTATTATAAATTCCACTTTGTCATGGTATATAATCCTTTTAATGTGCTCAGTTTGGTTTGCTAGTATTTTGTTGAGGATCTTTGCATTGATATTCATAACGGATTGATTTGTAATTTTCTTTTTTGTGATGGTCTTAATATGGCTTTGGTATTAGGGAAATGCTGACCCCATAGAACGAGACGGAAAGTGTTCTCCTAGTTTATTTCTTTGAAAAGTTTGAGAAGGACTGGTGTTAACTGTTCTTTAAATTTTTGGTAGAATTTACCAGTGAATCCATGTGTTCCTCGACTTTTCTTTGCTGGGAAATTTTTGATTACTGATTCAATGTTTTTACTTGTTATAGGTCTAGTGAGATTTTCTGTTTCTTCAGTCGATTTAGGTAATTTGTGTGTTTCTAGGAATTTGTCCATTTCATCTAGGTTATCCAATTTTAGAACCCAAAGAAGGATTCCAGTTTTTGTTGTTGTTGTTTGTTATATTTATTTTTGGCTGCGTTGGGTCTTCGTTTCTGTGCAAGGGCTTTCTCCAGTTGCGGCGAGTGGGGGCCATTCTTCATCACGGTGCGCGGGCCTCTCACTGTCGCGGCCTCTCCTGTTGCGGAGCACAGGCTCCAGACGCGCAGGCTCAGTAGTTGTATCTCACGGGCTTAGTTGCTCTGCGGCATGTGGGATCTTCCCAGACCAGGGCTCGAACCCGTGTCCCCTGCATTGGCAGGCAGATTGTTAACCACTGCGCCACCAGGGAAGCCCTCCAGTTTTTTCTTCTGTTAAACCTTGGCTATTAGGAGCCAGGGAGTGAGAAAATGTGTATGTATGCGTGGATAGTTGAATATAAATACATAAAAATGTATTTTTATTTATAAAAGTGCAATTTGATTTAGGACTTCAACCTAACAAATTCAGCTAGCAAAGCAAGTTATTTTCCTTCTTAAAAGAAAATGAATTTTTTTTAATTTTTAAGATTGTTTTTAATTATTTGAACAGGCAGCACGTCACATGGTTCACAATTCAAAAGATAAAAATGAGCTTACAGTGAGCAATCTCCATCCAACTCATGTCCTCCAGCCTTCTAGTTCCCCCTTTGCACATGGAGCCCTGTTGTCCGTT